TTATTACACATATTGAGCATTTCATTCGAGTATAGTTTTAAAGACAACTTATGAGGAAAAGCTCGAAAGCCTGTGCCGACAGTGTACGCTCGACGAAACACGTTTCAGAGTATTTAGTTTAAACTTAACTAGTGAAAATATACGGTATGCTCCAGCAGGTGAGTCTTAAATTAACACGGTACCTACGTCAACTGATCCCCAAAAATAGTCTCTAAGGCCTGATACCGTTAAGTAAGTGGACCTGTATGCTTGTGTTGAAGAGGCTACGCTTACTTTGAGATTACCGAAATAATTGGATTATACGAGTGCAGTATTTTTACATACGTGAAGCTCTATAGATTGTTGCTTCTCTATGTACGCAAAAGAGTATCAAGCAGTCGTGTCGGCTTTCGACATTGCTCCAATTGAAAAAAATCTTTCGGAGGTTCATATTGTTTACTTTATATAGTCCTGCGTATTTTGTACAAAGTTGGATAATCGATTGGCTACATTGTTTATACATATCTTATCAAGTTTGTTATCACAACTTTTACTTGATTAGATTTCAGGACAGGGTTGAATTCTTAATTAGTTAGCCCATCTCAGACCAAAATGTACAGTATTTGGATATTGTTGATGTCATTGGCAAGATAATGCCTTGAAGTAAATAAACGAACTTATAAAAGATTATAGATTAAACCTCGTTTTTCAACACTTAAGTTAAATTTAGTATATGCTATTTCGTGCAGTTTAAACGATTCGACTTATACCACGATTCATTCCACTTTGAAAAATGTTATCATCTTCATCAGCAATTATAGTTACATGTAGATGCAAGTAGATATTCGGACAATTTTGCACCTTAATATATATATACCATGGTTGTACAAGGGCATAACGAAATCACGAAACAATCGCTCAATAGCCACGAAGTTAACCGTTGGCAAAGTTTTGCTGAAGCTTAAATATCTAATCGTTTTTACAGTAATAATAATAATTTAAAAATATAGCGAAAACGAAAAGAATATCGATATGTTTAGTGTCAAATAGAAAAAATAAAACACTTACATTTTTAAAGTTATTCAATTATTATTACTAATTCAACTCGTACTCCACCTGGACTTTCTTCAACCAATACTACAGACCAGTACCGTATATAAGCAGCTTATTTTTTCCAATGAAACTTTCAAGATAGGTCCCGGGTACATTACGAGCAAGGACTGTATTGAAATAAGTATGGCGTCGGTGTAAACCGTGCGGTGAGCTCAGATTAGAATTAGGATCATTTGAAAAATTCACTCACTAACTATCGGCTGGGAATTCGGGACCTCACGATTATGAGTCTAGCAATTAAATTTACACATTTAATTAAATTGTAGGTATATTTGTAAAAGTTTTATCAGATTTATATGATGTTAGTATATTATTGATGCGGGGATGATGTAGCAACGTTGACTTCTGCCAGTCCAGCATGATAGGTGTGCCTCGAGGATTGGGTAACCTGCAATGAATTTGTAGGTCAGAATAGAAACAAATTAGTGTCATCTTCGCTACTAACTGATTTTATCTTTTCATATAGTTACAGTAACTGCCTTATCTGAAAAAAACACGACATAAATTAGCGACACCGAATTAAACGTTTGTACGGCAGATTACTCTGAGCGTATACCTCTTGTGTACTATAAAAACACTCTTTTAGCAATTGTGAAAAATTTATATTGTAAATATAAAAATAAATAGCTGTAATTTAATTAGTTACTTACTTCACTCTCTTATTATAATACTATATTCGTAGCCATGAAATCTTTAAAGGGCTCTTTGAACCAGGTTCACATCCGAACCTCTAAACAAAAAAAAAAACCAGCCAAACACCTTAAAAAATCTTAGAATTAAGAACGAACTCAAAGAAAAATATAGATCAATGAACAAAAAAAAATAATAATAAGGATCACTAGCAATTAATGACCATTAAATCGTTTCGCACTCACAAAGGATGAATATTTGTCCTTATTTCTGTTTTTTTTTTTTTTTGAGTAATAACAATAGCCCAACACCAACGCAAATCAAAACATTATACAATGTACATATTGAATATTACAGCAGGCTATAACCGCACATAGTATGACTCTTTTTCAGTATTTTTTAAAATATTGATCGATTTGTTTATGCGAAACAATGTTTCCCCACATTGTTCCTGACGTCTGACACACCGCTGTGATTCATGTCATTGGACCCGCTAGCTTGCAGTACAAAACTCGCCACGTTTACGCACGGATTCGAACCGAAAGCACCATGTGCCCCACATATTATCATACGACAGCGCTCCCCACTGCGCCATCACCATGGCAGCATCCCATGGACGGCTTGCTCCTAGAAACATTAACTTCTTCATATATAACTTAAAATAGAGAATTATTTAATAAACTGGTAATTTGGTATAGATGCTTCGGAGTATGCTATTTCTCAAAAGCCGTGGCTTGATTTCGTATTATTTCTCGCTATCAAAAAAATACATTAAAATATTATATTACAAGGCGGAAGGCACAGATTGTGCAGTACGATAAGTTTTTTCAACTTTATAGCTGTAAGAGCAAAATATTCTCGTAAAATACCATCGGTAAAGGGTTCTTGATGTGCGTAGAAAAAAAATCATCTTTATATCGATTTCCAGTTATTTTGTATTCTAGCCTAGATATACCCTTTACAGGTCACACAAACTAGCCATGTGAGGTCATAGCCTTAATGTTAATTTAGAAGTCACATTCGAAATACATTAATAATAGCTCTTTTATTCTCATACTTTGTGCATGATGTATGCTATATCCAAAAGAATAAATTATCGTCCGGTAATTTTATGGCAAAAAGTTTATTTTACCATTTATAAAATTTTTGTTCATCGTCGTAGACTTTACCGGTTTAAAAAAACATCTTGAAACGAAGCTCAGACAGGTTACTGCGCAGACTCATACTATGTTATAATACGAATCGTGATACATCTCGTTCTCTACAGTTATTTGATCAGAAATATAGTTGCTTGAAGGTGTACAACGTCAACAACGAATTCTCCGATGTAAAAGACTATCGTTTGTTGAAGAAATAGACAGATAGATGACATAATATTTTAAAAAAAAACAATCGTATTAGTAATACTAGACACTCGCAGAACGATGCATTGGCTATTTATATGTCATTAACTTGATGCCGCTGTTGCTTCACACTTGACGTCAGCTAAGAAGATGCCATGAATATGTCAACCTAAATAGTTGGGGAACGTGTCGTGACAATTAGCTTCGCTGTTGTGTAATCATTTGTCTCGATAAAATAACCGCTTTCCTTCACTCTCTTCTTCACCCCTATGAACTCGTCCCATTTCTCCCTCCATCTATCTCTCTCTGTGTGAAGGCCGACTCAAGTGAATCGCGGCTGATGTCCCGCTCCAAACGTTATGATGACCCGCTTTGCAACACTTGCCTCCTTGGTACCTCTAATTCTCTCTCTATAGGTTATTGTGTTGTAGGGGCGTGTGAATACACTATCCGATAACAAAGTGTGGTTCAAATAGCTTTTCTGTAACGTTTCTTCGTGGGTCCACGTTCCAACGCACAGCTTATTGGAACTGCGTCCAGTTCTTAAACATACGCGTAAGTAACAAGGCGCCGAGATATCTGCTGAGGTTACATTTCCGAAATGCTATTTTAATATGCTAAATGTGTCGATATTTATGCCCTATACAGGCTTTAGGTGTTCCACTAGTCGGCTGACCCCCATCACGAAAAAGAGTGTTTTTATGTCCGAAATCAGATTTAGACCAGCGCATGTTGCTTAGGCTCAATAGACGAACATATTACGCACTCCGCCATCATGGGGATGCCACTTTATTCCTATTTGTTCCCTAATTTAATTTCATCAACGTACAGCCCAGATATGTTTCCGACGATATTGCATGTGTATTTTGTTCATGAACAGACGAGAGTTAACCTATCCTGGCACGTACGTGCTACGACGTGTCACAATTTACACAATTGCTTATTGTTTTTGCTAAATTGTAGGAAATTATTAATAATTTCTTAATTAATTTTCATCGATTGGTATTATGATATACACGCGCTTAACAGCTACTCTTAAGAGAATATTTCATGATTTTGATTGACGATAGCAAATAGTACCTCGACAATAACTACTCAAATCGTTATATGAAGGCCTTGTTGCGGTGGCTGCATTGGTAAACAGCAGACGAAGCTGGCGGACGCAACTGATCCAGCACGATGCAAGCTTTCTTCTTGTTCATGTATTAAGTCCTGACAGTCTAGCTAGTAAATCCCCGCGTGCTTTGTGCACTGACGTCAAAGCGTGTCAGATGCCTACCTGCACGATAACGTTCATCGAGAACTATGCATCCAGTATATATATATTTTTTTTATAGTATACCAATTACGAGTTTCTAATCTAAAACGATCTCATTAATATGAAGCTTGCTTTATGTGCAGTCATATAGCAAATTAACTAGAGCGATTTACGTGATAAAGAAGGCTATCATTTCTGCTCGCCTCGTCGCACTCGTCTCTCACTTATCTACTGGGAAGAAAATTGTTTAGACGCTGAAAAAGACAGCGGCCTACTGCAGGTTCCATAGACTAATTAAGTAGTGTTTAAAGATTCGCCAACACGGAAATATCTTCCATACTCTTCATTTGCAAATGTATTAATTGTTGTTGTTGTTGTAGAAACAATAACTAGGAGCAGTTCCCAGGTAAAACTGCAAGATCCGTTCCGCGAACTGTGTACAACAAGCTCACTATAGGGTTATCATGCAATACTGAAACTATTAGGAACAGGGCGTTCGATATTGCTCCGTTATTTGTCATTTACTTTTTTTTTTGTGTTTAGTTGGAACAATTAGCCATGTACTAACCGCTACCATAAATGGTTCGTCAGGTCCATCCTTCTGCATCAAAAACAACAAGAGTATGCAGACGCATATGGCTTTATTTAGGGAACTAAGAAGATTTTAGGTCGTTCGGAGCACTGCACCTTTAGTTTAACGTATTACACGATTTTTTATCGGCAAAATTATAACGTTTATGATCAGTCTTTTTCTCAATGTCGTTAGCGTTTGTAGGGGATGGGAAGCTTTGCGTCCCTTGGCAGATAGGGTGCTCTTTTTGACAGTGACGTAACGTAAGTTGTTCGCGTTCCTTGGCTTCTCCTGATGTTTTCGCGAATTCCAGGTAAAGGTTTCGATCCCTCTGAAACTTCAAAAAAAGTTACGAAAATGGAGAAACTTATTTCTGTGCAAACAAACAAATATACAAAAATAAACGAGAAGTTTTGAGTTCCACCTAAGAGATTATCCGAGAACTTAATTATGAGTTTAGTGAACGTCTAATTTTTGTTCAGTAGGAAAAGCTGTGCTTTGCACACCAAGGAAACAGTAAAGTCTGCCATGAATATATAAAGTAGGTATATTAAGATATATTACTTACACTTAAATGTAGTGAAGTTATACGAGCTATAAAAAAGTGTTTGAGATAGTTATAATGTATGTGGCAACTCCAACAACCGAACGGTTTGTCTTTACTAAGGTCGTAATTCCTATAGCATTTTCAATTACAGCCTTAGTGTATAGTCTATGGTACATGTGTAATATACGAATTATCTACATCGTGTCCAATAAGGACACCACCATTACCGAATAGAGCACAGCTGTTGCGCACAGACAAGGTATACGTATATATACCGAATAGGATACGGAACCTAAATTGGGACAAGCTTCACCGGGCTGATTGTCGTGGCAGCCCTGTGCTCATACGTTACATTTTCGCTACCATAAGAAAGCCAGTCCTTTCCAGAACAAAACAGCGGGCTTATCATGGTGGAAGACAGTGCGTCGGTTTCGCATACTAAGCGAAGGTCACCTTAATGCAGTCTTTTTACACTGGGCAAAGCCCTACCAAGACTAAAAAAATGTCTTTATTCCTTACAACCAACAGTCTACGCCCTCCTTGTTTTCACGCAATTTTTTAAAAATTCGAGGAGGATTTTCGAAATTCAAAGATTCTCAGTAGAATCCAGATTTAAAGGTCTAAAAGCTAATCAAAATAGCTTAAAACGCCATTTTTAGTACACCTGGGTGTTTAATATAGAAAGAGACAGCCATTTTAGAAAGGAGGATATTAATTGCCAGCTGGGTCGTCTAAATAAGGTCTAACTGTTAATTTCTTTCTTGAAATTATTTACCTAAACCCTTTCATTTTTAAGACTTTGGCCTGTCAAAATTTAACTTTGTTGGAATATCTGCATAGTGTATGTTAAAATATCATTTGCAGAGTAAAAAGAATATTTTAGAAGTGATTAGGTCTTAAAGATAGGTTGTAGTTGCGGCGTATGGTCGTGTATTTAACATGCGTGGCCGTCAGAAATGACTCTTCTAACATATACAAGAAAAAAAAATAGTTTTTCTTAGATGCGATTTTAAGAAGGAAGCATATATATATATATATATATATATATATATATATATATATACCGAAAATAAAAAAAATAGTTTGACGATAATACGCTGAATAAGTGTAGGCGTTACTACGAGTGTTTTCATACACTACGTCCTTGTCTACCTTGGGCGGTAGACAAGGACGCAGTATCCAATGCAAGGGCAAATAGTACATGTAGTACTATTTGCCTGGGCGGCTAGCGTTTTTGGTCATAAGAAAGGTTTTTGAGAATTCTACGAACATATTAGCTTTGAGCCAATATGATTACTTTGTGAGTGCCGACCAAATTTGATGATATACTTGTATTGCGAGCAAATCAATATTGCGATGTAGACGATTGCTTAGGCTGAATTGAATGGGGATCAACGTTTTTTTCAGCTTAGGCTTAAACCTCAACCAAACTGAAAATACATATACTTTTTTAGACAAGCTGTTATGCACTAAAACAATGTGCTAGTCTATCTGTGTCTAGCGTCTTAAATCAATTTATATGTTTTGTACATTTTTCTCGAGTTATAGCGCTGTCCAACCATTTATTTCCTTCGCTGTGTTAGTTCGTATTCATAAATGAGCAACGACTATTCATTCATAGCGCATATTGTTAGGATTACCTTAGCTAAAGGAAAAACTGTAGGACCTCACTTTGGTCTAGAAACTGCTCTGGGCAATTTCGCGTCGCTACATCTGCTTATCTTTTTGGCAGACCCATTGAGAATTAAAACGTTGGTGCGTCAATAATACATGCACTTCTGGCAACGTTACCATGAGTGCCAGGATTGTTTTACTTGCTTCCATTACTTGGGAGCACAACGGATGTACTAAAGCATATCCGGTAAACGCCAAGATCCGTTAAATAATGATCCTTAAATTAAAAAAAAAAAAGTACATTAAGTTATCAGACGCTGGGGTGATGTTGTGTCCATCGAATGTGTGCAGATCTTGTAAAAGCTCCATTACGTTGCCTTCAAGATGCAGCCTTCAAGGGGAGCGTATCCTCAGCTATCTGCTGAATAGAAATATACAGGTGCATCGACATCTGTGAAGTCTGAGTTACACTATAGAAAGGTGTCCAAAACTAGGGCGGTCAGATGCATTTCCACCATCCTCCATACTCTTGCCTTCTTCCTCTACTGAGGCAGCGGAAATAGAGTTGGTTTTACCTTTTGAAAGCTCTGCATCCCGCGGACCTCGGCCCGTCACAGCCTGAAGTCAAGATCGTTCGAAGAAATCAGATGCATCGGAAAATCGCTTTTTTGAGGGCGTAGCAGACGAGATCTAACGTCATGTCATGTTTCACTACGTGCTGAGTATATACCTGCAGAGCTACAAGTCGACGTCAGCAGTAAGCTGTTATCGAATTTAGCCAACCAACGGGATGCACTGGAGCTCCAATTCGCTTTCACCTTGTGCGCGCCGATTCCACGTTCGAGATGTAGTCTCAGCTTTCAATTGAGGTCACAGCCTAACAAATAAGAGAAATAGTACGAAAAAAAAGCAGGCCGTAGTCGAGATATGATCTAGAAAAACATAATTTATTATAGCAAAGTAAAAAAAAACAGCTCAGATAGCTAGTGTTTCATATGAACGAAACCAAAGACAATTTGCCTAGGTTGGCTTGAGGATTCACCGGAGACGTGGTCCAATCCGCTTGTGATCAAATCGTATCGCTTCCGATCCAATTCATGGTATCTCCGATATCGCTAACCCAGCTGTATGCGTCTCCTCCAGCTATCCTGATTTTTTTAGGACCTAAGGAAGCGAATCATAAAGCCTGCCTGCAGATAGGACGCATTTTTTCCAATCTGGCATTAAGAAGAGCATATTGTGCAACTCTACAAGATGCGTCGCTGATAAATCGAACAATGTTGTGGGGATCGAAGAGTTCCCACTTAGGCATGCGCTGAACAGGTTGCTTCGTTTAGACGATCGACTTTAATCAGCGGGGACTAAACTGTTAGGTCAATAAATCGCTCATAGTGGGCTACCTAGACAATTCATAACAATAATATCGTCTCAGCGCCAGCACCAGTCGCATTCTTGTCAGGTAGCCTTAGAAAGTAGCATCTCGAAGGCGGTATTTCGGATACACTCTTTTTCTGTTCTAGGTATAATGTTTCGTATAAAAACGCAGGAAAAAACAAACATTTGAATTGGTCAGTTAGTGTCCCTATCAGCTGTCAATTGAGAGTCTAAGGCAATCAAATATACGGTGGCTGCAAAATCAGACTTCTGACTAAGCGTGTGCCGCCTACATAAAACAGGTCAAACGAAAAACTACTGCACAACGTTCGTCAGTTTTAACAAGCGGCCTTTGCTTTAGTCGAATTGCTTCAAGGTAGGAATTACATGTAGCAAATCTCTGATTTCTATTACGACCGATATGATTTATTTACCTTAATCTTTTGCTATTTACGTTCCGACATTCGTATCCGCGCAATTCAACTCATATAATAATCACAAGCTAAATACCCGAAGCAGTGAGTTACGTTATGTGGGAAGTTTACAAAACACACGTGGACGTTGGTAATGTGCAACAAACACATTGACTCCTATGTAACTAACAAAGGCACAGGAGATGGTAAATATTTGTTAGCAGAACCGAACGCTATGAACACACGGACAGACAGACAGACAGAGTGGGTCATCTTCATTCACTGATGACGATAACGATGAGGGTGATCGACCAGCGCACAGAGTATATTGGATATAAATACGTACAAGATCAGCAGCTGAGTAAACAAATATTATTCTGCCCGTCAAAGCTTCTGTGCAGATACGATGAAGCTTCTATAACAGTGACGACGGTAAGGGTGAAGGCTGTGCCAGTTGTTGCTAGAGGACCAGCAGAAAAACTGTTGAGCGATATCGCTAGTTGACATGTCTGCTGTATACGTAACACTCTTCATCTTGCCTCGTGATGTGCTGTAAGACCCGATCCAATAGCCAAAATAATAATTGCAAACGAAAGTCACTGGCAACTCTTAATGAGATACATAAATTAGGCCAGCTCACAGGCCAGTGGCCCTATCGCATTCCGTCAACGGAAAATAAAAAACGTAGAGAAAATAACAAGCAGGCGCAAGTTGCAGTCTATGGACCTTACCGCTTGTTTATATCATGCGGATGATTATGATGAAGGTAACTAAATGAATGGTCGGTGGGACGCGATCAACAACAGGAGACTATTACGAATATTCTGCATTGAGCTGTCTCAAGCAATAAGCGAACCACAACGTTCTTGAATTGACCAGCCAACTAGATGGCACACGGGCTGTAAATACAAAGTAATTAGAAATAACATAAAATATGAGCTTTGGATCACACATGAACTGTGCAAACCTTGACAGATAGGAAATATTTAGAGGGTTGAGAAATATATGTTTCGGAGAAATGCTATATGTTTAGGAACTTAGCTATAACCTTTGTTGAAAATTCAATGAGTCATTTTTTCCGGTTTGATAAATATTTATTTAATAGTCCCAAGTCCCCCCTCCCCTCCCCCGCTTCCGGATACAACTGCTACACAAATTTGACCGCTGGGATAGTTTTAGGAATAGAAAAAAATTCGCAGGGGGGGGTAGGTTTGGTGGCTAAAGAAATTGGGTTAAGACACATATGAAGTCCTTTCGAGAAGCGTTGTACGTATAATAAAATGTGAACCGATATATTGTCGTAATAGGACATTTAATGTTGCAGTTTGGGTCTGTTGGATCAGAAGGACTCGTGCAATCTTCTTAAAGCGCCTCAACAAACTCATAATAAATAATTCTCCAACTGTATATGAGAGGCTCTTTATTGTTACCCTCCGTTGCAGGCCTTCTAGGATGAGGGTCGTCCCTGATCGATTCCTCTTCATCGAAAGCGCTTGTTTGCTTGAACCTTACTCAGTCCTGGTTGCCGAACGCGTTCTACAAAATGTTCCGCAATGTCTATGCGGCTGTCTTTTGTCACACAAATGCTTATTATTACCTTTCTTTTTTTCGAAAACTTAATCTTACGGAAAAACGCTCGAGATTGCGCCAGATTGTTATGAAATTTCATTTAGGTCTGGCAAAACTTTTTAACAAGACAAACGTGAATTGCAAGCGATTATTGAATGGAGCAGTTGTTGGAACGATTCACTCATATTTAAGCAAAGAATTATATATACACAGGTACTGAGTTGTGTGTTTCACATTTTTTGATAAGGGTTTATTTATCTATAAAGGCACAGGGCTTAGTAAGGGACTAGTATCCTGCTCGACTACACAATGTAGGAAAAGTTTGCCTTATCTAAGTAAGTGTGTGTTAATCTGCCCTAGGGAGCACGCCTAAGTAATATTTTGCAGGTAAGTGCTATAGTTAAGTATGGAAAACTTGCAACTGTAACAATACAACGTCTGCTTTTGCTATAAATGAATAAAGGGTGAACGGAAGCCACCGTCAATAAGTGAACACCTAGAGCATAATATCACTCGTGTGAAGAAGGCTTTAATACTAGGTAGAAAATAATTAGATGGCCGCTATGCACGTGACTCGAATTGATTTAATTGTATGCAAGGTAGTACATTAGAACAGGATGTAAAGAGAAAATTGTTCCTAAGCATGGTGATTCAGATGACTTTGTTTATTAACTTATGGATGATCCCGTGCGTGAAAAACAACTTACTCAAAAATATAAAAAGCTTTAAATTCTACAAAGATAATGCGAACGGAACGAGTACGTAGCTCGAGGCTTTGATTTTGCGTCCAAGGCAGCAAAATCTATTTTGCTATATGGTAAATTACTGCTACGTATACCAATATTTTTCTGTTTCGGCTTGACCCGGCTAGCAGTCTCGTCGGAGTGAATGATTTTCAGGCTCGAGAAACTTTTTTATTTGAACTAACTTAAACATACCCTCCGTTATCAGAGGCCATTTTTAAGCTTCCTTTGACGATTCGATGTGTAGTGGTCCTCGCGAAACCGCCAGTTTTGGGTACGACGCTTTCCGGATAGCCCTGAATTTCCTTTAAATTCTACATTGCACAGAATCGACGTTTTACTTTGTCCTAACCCTAAACACGACCTGGCTTATGTCTATCTAAAGCTGAGCCGTTTTGTCAAATCCTTTACAAAGCCGCCGGATGGTGAATCTTAATAGGGTTTTTTTGTCATACTGCCACTCGCAATAGATGTGTCTTTTGCAGACATTAATAAAAAATCTATCTTCCACATGCAAATATAAAACTCATTTTCGTCGTTACTCACTGAGACCACTAACGGTGAAGTCATAGGCAGTATGCTACTATTTCGTGAAAACATGTGGCGTATGGAGACAGAGGGAAAGCTGCAAGGTTTGTTAAGAAATAGATGCGAGCAGATGATCGTCCTTGTAGATAAACAAAACTATAGGGTAAAACTACACGTAGGGGCGCAGTCATATTATGAGAGATATGTAAAGATTTCATTAGCATTATTATAAGTACATGTAGGAACGTCTCAAGGAAAACAAGTCTCATCTTTTATGGTGGTACGTTGTTACGCCAGTGCCGTCCTGCTTTTCAGAGCCTTTTTCACGAGGAGGTTTATCACGGAGGCTTACAGAACGTGTGATTCGACAGGCAACAGGAAAAAGGGGGTATCTCTTTTGGTCTGACATGTTCATCATTCTGGCAGCAACATCCGTCGAAGTCTTTATCGGCGTCGTTGGCTATACATCACCCAATTTTTCTACCCATCGTTCTGTCAAACATGTCTGTGTTGGCAATTGTGCGCAGGTCGTGTGTGTGTTACAGATTACTTCGTGTCTGAGCGATTGTTTACGGATAATGACAATCCATACTGGAAAAGCACACCGTTGTTTAGAGCCACGCTCGTGGCATCGTTATCCTCTGTTGGCCAGCGTTACGCTAAGTGCTGTAATGCTGTGGTCCTTTCCGACATCGGCCTTTTTCCTCGTCTTGTTGTGCTGCTTCCATTTCGCCTGTTTTCTGGGTTCAGACCAAAGAGGAGACGGAAACGGAAATGTAGGTAAGGGGCGTGGCGTGTTTGCAGGTGGAAATGGACAAAAGGGAGATTTGTGTGCTTTTTGACATAGACGTTGGATCTAAAAAAAGATTGTTGGTTATTGTTCCAGCTTTACTGTACAGTAGTTGTTGTTGTTGTTGTTGTTGCTGCTATTAAAGGTGCAGTTAAAGGTGCCTCGGCATCAGTGGGTCTTCGTAGCTCCGACCAGGAAACTTACTAAGTCGGAGTCGAATACCGATATTCTCAGTAATTAGAAGATGCAATGCCGGCTGTGAGTGCTAAGGAGAAATAAGTGACGAAAATGCTAGACAGGAAAGAATAAGTTATTATTGCGGTTCTTGAGATCTCATTTAAAGGTCAATTAGAATGTTCTAGATAAATATGTGGCTTGTGTTTATATTTAACGTAGAAAAATTACCAAAAGGTAGGCTGCCACCTCTGCCGCAATAGCAGCGGGATCAGAGGACGCGTTGTGCGTACTCTGTTGGTCTCGATTGCAGGGAAGACATACATCCGTATCGGAATTTTGAATAAAGCATTTTTGTGGGCCTTTAACCACCGCTCACATACATACGCGCAATATGAAATAATAATAACGATACTATTCTAGAATTGCAGACAATGTCAGTGATAAAACTTGGCCGGTCTCAGTGAAATAGAGGCAAGTATGCGGCTTTTCGTTCAGGATCACTATCTGATAGGTTTTCTCGACTTCCATTTATTTGCTTCGGAACAGATACGGCATGCATTTATTTTTATGCGTAGCACCAGATGGAACTTCTGTCCAGCGGGGGCATTATGCGATGCTGGTTTAGTCTATGTGTGTAGCAATTTCCAGCGATCCTCGCGAAATGTGAAAATTCGGGAACGGTGCAAGGCAAAAGGCATCCTATGGTACACAACAACCGTAGCTGAAACGTAGGGCCATGCCGACTGACTTCTATTTGTAGCGAAAGCTAGTGATATGTACAGTGGCAAATAAAAAGCTAACTTCGCTACTATAGAAGTTATTCGACATATAGAGATCATATTAGCTACCTCTAGGACAAGCAGCGCGTGTTTGTTGATTTTCTATGTGTTAATAATAACATCGTTAAACGAAGATCAGAAGTCTGATCTTGTCGGGGACACGCATTAACTGTTCATCGCTGCGTGAAGGGCTTTCATCGTAACGTGCACCCCCCTATCTCTACTCTAGGAGGGAATATAATACGTTTAAATTAAAGGAAAAGATAGATTATAATGATTTTGAATAAATAAGTTCTCTGTTCTGACAGAATCTACAATGTTTGCAGAAATGACTTTACATTAAGATTGAATTATGTAAATGTTGTTACTGCGAAAACTACATCTGACGAAGTGCAGCATTTGATTTGGTCTTGTGACCTTTTTCATATGCATACATTTCTAAATTTGAGTAGAGTCTGTTCGAAGGCATAAGAGGCGAGACAACTTCCACTTTGCCCCCTCCTGGCACGGCTTTCTTTGAAAGCCTAAATACAATTTTTGCTTTTCTCTGAAATAAAGTGTCTGGATCCGCTATTTATATGCAGCAATGAACAAATCCTATTTCTGCCTACTTAGTTGTACAATTTTTAAAGTTACGATGTGTAAGCCTCATTAGCAAACCCAAAAAAAGAC